CTGCCAGCTCAGATGTATGTGGCTGGGGCCTTAGCCGCTTGAGCCACAGGCGCCGAGCCTTCACACAATCTTAAAGAGAGGCATGATGAGGTCAGGTGCAGCGGCTCACACCGGTAATCCTAGCATTTTGGAAGGCCGAGGCAGGTGACTGCATGAGCCCAGGAGTTTGAGAGCAGCCTGAGCAAGAGCAAGATTCATCTCTATTAAAAATAGAAATACTAACTGGGCCCTGTAGTTCCAGATACTCAGGAGGGTAAGGCAAAAGGAGTACTTGAGGCTTGGAGTTTGAGGTTGCTGTAAGGTAGGCTGAAACTACCACAATCTACCCAGGGTGACAGAGGGAGATTCTGTCTCATTAAAAAAATAAATAAATAAAAAAGAGGGGGGCATGATGCTTTCGTTGTAGAGATACAAACAATTAAGCAATTATATTGATATTAATGTATGACAAGGTATTATGATTAGGGACTTTCGGGGTACAATGGCAAACACAGGATATGTGTATCTAGAAAAAAGAAAGCATCATTTAAGGACTAAGATGTGAGACAAAGATGTTCAATATAGAATTACTCAAAGAGGGCAGTGCCTGTGGTTCAAAGGAGTAGGGCGCCAGCTCCCCTGGAGGTGGTGGGTTCAAACCTGGGCCCTGGCCAAAAACTGAAAAAGAAAAAGAAAAAGAATTGCTCAAAGATATTGAAATGTAAAAAAGAGAGCTGTGATTATAATAATGCACAAATTTTGAAGCAAACATGATGCTCTAAAATAGCAGTTCTCAACCTGTGAGTCGAGACCCACAGGAACTGCATTAAAGGGCTGTGGCATTAGAAGGTTGAGAACCACTGCTCTAAAAGATGAAATGATTTGGAAGTTTAAGAAAACCTCATGAAAAACAAAATGTAGAATAAAAATTAATTAAAAGGCTTGGCGCTTGTGACTCAAGCGGCTAGGGCACCAGCCACATACACCTGAGTTGGTGGGTTCAAATCCAGCCCGGGTCTGCCAAACAACAATGATGGCTGCAACCAAAAAATAGCCAGGCGTTGTGGTGGGCACCTATGGTCCTAGCTACTTTGGAGGTGGAGGGGGGGTGGCTTGAGGCTCTGTCTCAAAAAAAAAAAAATTAATTAAAAGATTGACAATGGTCAATTTACTGACATGCACTATTAATGGGAATTATAATTGACTGATAGTCTATGGAAGGTATTTGTCAATATTTATCAGTTTGCCAAGGACCTTAAAATATTTGTACCTTTTGACCCAGCAACAGAATTTCTGGATATTCACAGATATATTTGTGTATGTATAAAATGATACAATTATAGGATTATTATTTGTAATATCAAAAGGTAAATAGGTGTGGCCCCTGCAGCTCAGTGGTTAGGGCGCCAGTCACATACACAGGGGCTGGCAGGTTCGAACCCAGCCTGGGCCTGCTAAATAACAGTGACAACTACAACAAAAAAATAGACGGTGTTGTGGCTGGCACCTATAGTCCCAGCCACCTGGGAGGCTGAGGCAAGAGAATTGCTTAAGTCCAAGAGTTTGAGGTTGCTATGAACTGTGACACTATAGCACTCTACCGAGGGCTACAAAGTGAGACTGTTTCAAAAAAAGAAAAAAAAAAAAAGATAAATGCATTTTCAAACGGTGAATGGCAACATAAACTGCTACATCCATACAACAAAGTACCATAAAGCCATTAAAAAAGAGTGAGATATTCAAGTATATTTAGTAAAAAAGAAAAGTATGGAATAATGTACAGCAGGCTACTGTATATATAAAAATGGAAAAAAGAATACATAGATGTATCTATTTACTTATTTACACATACGCTTATAGATGCATAAAATATCTCTGGAAGAATACACAGGAAACTGTTAATATTCCCATGGAAAGGAACTGTGTAACTGGGAGGAAAATTCAGCTCTACTTACATTCTTTCTCTCTTTTTTTTTTAAATTAAATCATAGCTGTGTACATTAATGTAATCATGGGGTACCATGTGCTAGTTTTACACACAATCTGGTCAACATAGCCTTCATCTACTTACATTCTTGTGGGCACTGTCTGAAGTTAGGAACATGTGAACATAGCCATCTATTTAAAATAGTCATGCATCACTTAATGATGGGGATGTGTTCTAAGATCTGCGCCATTAGTTGATTTTATCATGGGGTGAACATCATAAAGTGTTCTCACACAAACCTACACTCTAAGGTATGGCCCCTTGTTCTAACCATTGTATATGTAGTCTGTTACTTTTTTTTTTTTT